CACCTCAATTGCATGGCTCAAAATTATCTACGAACGAACCTACAAAATTACATGAACCTACAAATCAATGTTATTACATCAAATCTTATTACCAAGACCATTAGGCCTTTTAAAGGTTTTTTTTTTTTATAATATAATTCTGCTCTTATGGTTAACGACAACTGACTTTTGACTCCTGAAATAACAAATTCCTGATGGCATTATCTAAGGTGTATTCGAAATCGCTTTTAAGGATGATATACGCACAAAGTTTGAAGATAATATTCTTTACGTTTTTTCGGATAATGCACATAAAACTCGTACACTGAGAGAGAGAAACTTAATTCTTCAAAACGCTTTCCGTCTGACGTTGACGTCACTAATACATTTCATATTGGATACATTTAAGTTAATTTACTATATCAAACTTTAAACAGTCAGGTCTTACCTAACTTTTCGAACACTAACTTGTATATATATATATATATTTGTACTGTAAAAGTAGTCCGTCAGTTCCTAAATCCTATCTATACAAGGCTTTGTTTCCAGAATTACAACTGGGTAAATCAACAAGGCTTTTTTTTCCAATGATAACAAAGGAGCCGTGCTTATGCATTTTAACTGAATAAATACAAAACGTTAATTTTTATCCGAAACAATTGTTTAATAATACTTTTTTTCACAACAGGTGGCTGGTTTCAGGTGTATTTTAGACATCGAACGGTTGTTTTGGTTGTTCTTAATCGCACAGCTACACAATGGGCTGCCAATCACGAGTATCGAAGCCAGATTTTCAGGGTCACAAGCCTGCAGATTTACCGGGGGCATATCAAAAGGTTAAGAACAATTTCAAATCATTTGTACAAGTTTATTGTGTATAACACCCTATTTTGTTTTTTACATGTAGTGTTTTTATACCCTCTATCTCGTACTCACACACATATGCACGCATTTATGTATAAACAATTATAATCTGTTTTGTTTTCTTGTCTGACCATAAATTATGCGATACATTTTACACGATTTCTTCGTTCATTTTAATATCATATACTTACATAGACCTCATAGGGTATGTGGAGCAAGATTACAATTGTGGGTACCCTCAAGAGGATGAGGGTGACTCGAGGGCACGTGGACTTCATTCAACCAATGAGATAGGCAGTTGTGACCATGGTAGTCAACAAGTGCCCTTACTTAAATAAGCAATAACTATCAACTGTATTAAGAGTTTCAGTAACATCTCATAATACCAATGTGTTTGAAATAAACACACTGGTTCGTCTTTTAAGCGCATATCTTTCCTATGTTTTAGTAATTCCTCATAATGCCAACTACGAAATAAACACATTGGTTCGTGTTTAAACACAAATACTTTCATCGGTTTAGTAACATCTCATGTACCTCTGCAACCTTTTCTATTCACTTACTCTAACTGTCACATATACCAACAACCCTCACCTGTTGTAAATAAAGAAAAAAAATCGTTTGACCCCTTTTTAAAAGGAGCCATTTCCTTGTACAAAAAGATATTCACTAAATTGTTGGCCTTCAACGCCGCCGCCATTTGAGGCCACAATATGGTACCCATTGTCCAATAGCCGGACAATAGTCTCTAAAGAGTTCAGCTTACAGTATCCATTCAATGGGAATCTGATCACATATTTATAGTCAGTGTTCCAAGTTACTCCACTGCGAGCGTCCATCAAGACTTGACTGATTTCTGGGAAAACATTCTCCACTAGGGAGCGCTTTCCACTGATCATAATTCTCTCCCCGAGATCTGGATTGACGTGAAGGGCTAAACATTTGAAGCTGTTTTCGCCATCCCTGTCTTCACCATTTAACGTTGAATAACCTTGGCAGTGACGGTTCTTGTTCGACTCATTGACATTGGAATATTTCCTTTTGTTGCGCTCGTTCTTCATATTCTCCAACATTCTAACCAAAGGGTGGATGTCATAAAATTTTGCTTCTTCCAGAAGGAGATCCAGCTCTCCGAAGTCTTCTGGAATCGTCAACACATTGGTTCGTAAGAAGTTCAAGATGTGACGAAACATTTTACCGTCCCGGTCGATGAAATAGTGCTGTTTTAGTGTGTCGAGGACTATGGGAATGCTTCCGTTAAACATCCGAGCAAGTCGAGAGTCTGGGTGCCTGATTGAGAAAGAAAAAAATAGATATTTATAGAAATACAAACAAAAGTACCCGTCCCCAGTGTCAGGAAAAGTTTAAGTTAATATATCAATTTAAATTATTTCACGGACTTTAAAAAGATTACTTGTACTGCACTCTTGGTTTCACTCAGAGCCAAAGCTCTGAGCTACTCATACCGCTCATCGCGAAAAGTAATTGTTGACCATTTTAGTCATGCTAAGAGCCTCTCAACAGTAACATACGGTAAACCTACATTTATATTCTTTAGGTTACGTCACATTTTGAAATGTAAATGGTAGTGTGATTAATTCCTAACAATTTATTGTAAAATATCCTGCTTGCGAAATAAAATTTGGCAT